ATAAGCGCAGGATCGATTTATACCTGCGGAATGCGATCGTCTTATTTATGAATCATTTGCGTCTGTACATTTGGAAATTCAGATTGTGATGTCATTATAACCCAGAATATGATTATTGTTTCTCTTAAATGATAAAACTCATCAAACCCGACAATCAGGAATGAACAGCCTCACGTGACTGAATGAAAGTATGGTAAATGATGTAAAAAGTGTTTCGTATCTCAGCTCTCTCTCTCTCTCTATATATATATATATATATATATATATATATATATATATATATATATATATATATATATATATATATAAAGGTTTAGTCTCTCTGACTTTAATTGTATTCATAAAAAAAGTTATTGAGGGAAACATCAGATCATGAAAACACAAATCTTTCTAACAAATGAAGAAAGTTGTTTGTGGTTGTTTTGTTGTTCAGACTACAATGAACATTTATTTAAACCAGATGTTGAATCAGAAACCTAATCAAATATAAACTAGAGTTTATTCTTTGATCCGTCTTCACTGTTTACATGTTGAATAAAATCTCATCAGTCCGATCGGCTGCAGCGTCCAATCACATAACTGATGAACAATGAGGGGGCGTGTCGGCCGTTAAAAGACTTCTTGTAAGTCTGTTGTCGTAGGTCCTCGCTCATGGCTCCTCGGAGATCCCTCCTCTCTCCTCCCTCCTCAGAGCTACATTAGAGCTTTGGGACGGCCGTCAATATGGCGGTGCAGAACAACTTCCAGTGCAGCCTTACTGTATTATATCAGATGTCATAATAGTTAAAGAGCTTGAGGAAAAATAGGAGGTATCCTGTCAGGATAGCCATTTCCCAAATCGGGGGCTAGATCCTCTAAATCTCATGGCCTATAAAGATGGATCTGAAGAACACATTATATCTGAAGGTAAATGAGACAGTCAAGCCTTAGACCAATAAATTAGGGGTTCCTTTTTATTGTAAGGCAACAATCTAAAGGCTAATTGGAAGTTAGTTGCCTCGAAACAGCCAAACAATTGTTGGATACTACTGATAAACAAGGAGAGAGGAGTTTACAGGATGACATTTACCACATTGACATCAGGCCCTAGTATCGCATGTTTGAGCTTATTTAACTTCTATATCAAGTCTGGATACCTATATTTTATTTCCCTGGAGTGGTGATGACACAGCCAAAAAAACAACAGTTTCTGAGGAGTTTACACTTGGTTTATTTGTATACAGACTTTAAGATGGATGTACAACATTTGACAATTCCAACAATCTGCAAACAGTTCAAGTTGAGATCATGTAAGGCTGATGTCACGTTAGTTAGGAGGCTGAGGTCATCTGCTTCAGTCGAGCACGATCATGGAGTCTCCGTCAGCTTAGACTGGGCCTCCTGTTGAGAACAAGTTGAGAGCTTTGGTCCGGTTTAAAGTGAGTTTAACCAAACCTCCAGTTTCAGAACAAAGACCATGAACCTGAGAGTAAGCTGCAGGAACAGACACGTTGTTGGCCTTCGAGTCAGACGGATCCACTATGATCAGGGGTCCCAACACAGAATGGTGACTAAAGCCGTTACTTTCTGAGAGGAAACAATAAAATAAAGATTATGACTTCATTGAGAAAAAAAAAAAAAAAAAAAAAAAAAAGATGAAAACACCCATGTTAGCAGAGAAGTAATACTCCATTCAAGTCCTCTTTTGGTGCGGGGCTTGCAGGTTGAGTCACAGCAGCTACAGACAGAGCTCTTAGAGGAGTCATCGAGTAGTTCCCAGCTGGAAAAGCAGCAATTGTAGAGAGGCATTGCATCACCATGTTAATACAACTTTGTAAAGCACAAAAGCCATTACATTGACTTTTTGGTCAAATAAAAATACATTAACATTTGCTCCTCCGATTGCCTGTTTTAACTCAACAGGTCATGCTAAGTTTAACTGGCATTTCTTTTAACTAAGGAAACCTTGTGCAAGAAGTTAGAATAGAAATATTTGTAGACTGAAATATTTACAATTATTTGACAATCTACAATAGGTAGTTTTTTTTAGTTTTTTTTTTTAGAGATACATTTATTTAACTTTCTAGTTGCATTGTTTGATGTTCATGAAAGATAAGCCAACCTCCTCCTGGCTCAAGATGCATACTTGGCGCGCATGACATCATTGGTATCGTCTTTGAACTCTCAGCAAGAAAGCAAATAAACAGGTTCTCCAAAGTTTCTAACTGTTCGCAATCAGTCATTACCTCTCACTTTCCTTCTTGTAATGGCAGGCTTTCTTGCCATCATCAAGAACTTCAGGATCCCATGCAATCAGTTTACAATGAATGTACACCTGAGGAGCACACGACAGTCAAAACAAAACTAAATAAAAATCATTTAATATTCCTTATGGCAGTTCCCCCTCTCACCTCATTTCCAAACCGTAACTGGAAGGCCTGCAGGAGAAGGGTGAGAGCAGACGACTGGTAGCGAGGGAGGAACTTGGAGTTTCCCCTCTTGCTATCTAGAAGACACCTGAAGAAATTAAAGTGTCGCCGATAAGCAATAAGACTTCACATCTGGAAAATAGTCAATAGAAAGACAAATCAGTGCATGAACACCCACCCATAATTGCTTATGATGGGGTAAACCTGGCTACCAGACAGCAGCTCTGGTGTAGTGGTCGCCACGCATTCCTCCATGAGCAGCAGCAAGGGTTGATGGGACTTCTGCTCCACTGCCGCCCATATTGGCATGAAGGAGCCCAGGGTGAAAACATTGGTCTTTGATATATGCGTTAATTGATCTGCAGTGAAAAAATTAAAGTGCTTAGAGTGTCCCCTTGAGTAAGCCCATGTTGCATTTGGTAGTGCAAGAACTCACCATTGAGCAGCGCCATGTGGAACACTAGACTGCCTCGGCCTTCAGAAACACCTGCGCCAGGGTTCAGGAAAGGTGGAACCCATCCTGCGGGTCTGAAATATAACGGGAGCATTTTCTCAGCTCACATTTTCTCAGCTCACATTTCAGCTTCAAAAGTGGAATTTTGATTCTTGAAAAATACCTCCTACCTTTCATAAACGCACTCGATGGGATACACATAGGCAGCCGGTTTTGACCTTGGTTGTGGCCGGTAAGTCAGCTCATTTCTATAGAAGAGATTTTTTCCTTTCATCTGTAGAAAAACAGCTCGTTGAGATACGCGAGAGGCTGAGAGGAATTTTAGTTGAATGGAGCTTTTGCATTACCTGTCTTTTGAATTTGCAGGCAGCAAAACCGTAGTTGAACTCTGCTTCGCCCTCTCCGCTGGGCAGGACATTGAAACCAGAGGCCATGCAGGTTCCAAGGAAGAGACGCGCTGCATACGGCACCAGCTCCGCGTTGATCTTCCATGTGATTTTTATCGAGTCTTTCGCACAGACAACTTTGATCTCTGCAAACAAACCACTTATGATTCCAGTTTCAGTACACAAACAACTTACAGAAGGTTGAAACATTACCACGTGCAACAAACACCTGCATTGGCAACAGTTGTCGCAAAAACTGCCAAGATGATCACACCTAGGTAGAGATGAGTCCCCATGACTGAATGATACAAAGCCCAGTGGAACTGACACTATTTGTAGTCTCCCTGTCCAATCAGCTGAATGATTAACATGTGTGAGAGCAGGGCGACTCTACAATTTATTTTGTAGAGTATTCATTTAGACAATTCCTAAATGCAGAGGTGGAACTTGATCAAGTATTTTACCCAAGCAATTCAAAATAATATGCATTTATGCGCTCATTTTAGTTTACGCCTCCACTTTGCGAGGCAAATTGTCATTTATTTGTATTTTATTTCTGTTCACTCTACTGTATTTGTTTTGACTAGTGTTGGTCCACTGTTTTATCAAGTCCAAAGTCAGCGTAGCCGTCTACCAGGACATTTTAGAGCACTTCATGCTTCCCTCTGCTGACAAGCTTTATGGAAATGCTGATTTTATTTTCCAGCAGGACTTGGCACCTGCTACACTGCCAAAAGTACCAATACCTGGTTTAATGTCCACAGTATCACTGCTTGATTGGCCAGCAAACTCTCCTGACCTAAACCCAACAATGCAGACGAGCTGAAGGCCGCTATCAAAGCAACCTGGGCTTCCATAACAGCAGTGCCACAGGCTCATCGCCTCCATGCAGTAATTCATGCAAAAAGGAGTGCCGACCAAGTATTGAGTGCATACGTACACCAACATTTCTGGATTCAAATCTCGTTTGAATTAGTTTTATGCAATATTCAAATTTTGTTTTTTTATTAGCTGTAAGCCATAATCAAAAGAGATAACGCTTGAAATATATCACCCTGTGTGTGATGAATCTATGAGTTTCACTTTTTGAATTTCTGAAATAAAACTGAGGATATTCTGATTCATTGAGATGCACCTGTATATTTTATGATCTTTCCCAACAGTT